GGGCACTACACCAGAGCACCAGGAGTTTTCAGAGATCCATGCCAGGGGCTGGGCTATGATGCTCACCAGATCCTTGAGTACCCTGGGGTGTAGCTTGTCAGGTCTGGCTGACTTGAAGGTATCCAGCTTCTCAAGGTGTTTCTTCACAAGGTCAGCACTGATGGAGGGCAGGGGATCTCCCTTACCTGGACCACCCTGTCCCGTGGTGGGCATGGGCGTCCCATGGGACTGATGAAAGACTGACGCAAAGTACCCATTTAATAGGTTGGCTTTTTCCTGGGCATCAGTTGTCAGTTGCTCCATCTGGTTCAGCAGGGGTCCAATGTTGCCCTTGCTTTTCCTCTGGCTCCCCACATATCTGAAAAAGGACTTTTTATTGTCCTTGATGCTCGAAGCTAGTTGGAGTTCAGTTGAAGCCTTGGCTTTCCTGGTTTGCTCCCTGCAGGACCGGACCAGCCTACAGAACTGGCTTACAGCAGGACTGTAAAGGGTTCAACGCAGGCAGAAAAACATACGAACTGTGGCAGGATTAAAAAGGCCCCTCCATCCAAAGAGCAGTGGTAGATTATTGCCCTACATTCAAAGAGCAGTGGATACTAAAACTTTAGGTGAGACACACACGTAGGATATTTTGAAACCTGTTCACCTGTTAAAAGCTTTGTTCCTACTGGTAAAATAATCACCATTTTTTGTTTTAGGAAGGCTGTTCAGTCAATCAATGTTTGCAACTGCTCACAGGCTTCCAAGCAGGAAAAGACACGCACGGCCCCACATTCTAGCAGAAGTTCTGAGCAGAAATGGAGGATGTGCAGAGTAGTGTAGCCTCAGGCATAGTCTCAAAATGGAAGAATTGTGAAATTTTCCCTCTGGGTAGGGAAATCTCTGACACTCTGACACTTGAAGGGTGCGTTCATGGAGACCAGACAGAGGTACTGATAGGACCTAAATCAACCATAGTGGTAAATTTCCAGTTAGTGAAAACAGGAGTAAAAACATTACGAAGAAAAAGCAAAAGAAAAAATTGTTCTGTATTCTTTTTAAGAAAGTGATTAGGCTACTACACTTTTGACCAGAAAGGAAGTTGTGGTCCACAGCTGTGCAGTAACTCAACTACAGCACCCTGTTGGCAGCATGAACAGAGATTAAAGGAGACAGAAGCCCACATGGATTAGTAGAACTGGGACATTATCTCAGATGGAAGAAAATGTCTGCAGTGTATTCAGTGGCTGAAGGAAGCCACACAGTGTTTCCCTAAATCATCAGTGGAAAAAACTGCAGCTGGAAGGACAAGAGCTGGCGTTGTGGCAGAAGCTTGCATAGGAAGAATGTCAGAGCCAGCATGAAGAAGAATGCAGCATAAATAGGATGAACACCAGCCTGAGAAAGATGAAAGAATATCAAGCAGGAAAACATGAATGAGACTTGGAAATGCCATACAGCCAATGGCATACCAGTTTGGAAAGGGGCAGACATGGAACTCCTAGCTCCTCAGATAGCACAGATTTTAAACAGACATCTCAGTTGAGGTACTTGAGTATCTTTCCTGCTTACTTACAGAGAGGAGCCTTTACCCATGGAGTTATAGTTGGCTCCAGAAGTTATGAGCACTGAAAGTGAGCTTTACTGCAGAAGTTGAAGCTAATACTGGCAACTAGAAGGAGGAAAATTTCTAACCTCGTTCTCTTGCATCTGATGAGCATGTGGGATCAGCACAGAGTTAGTCAATGCTTTCAGTTTCTGTCCTGCACTCTTGTGAGGTAACTACAAAAATCTCTCTCTGGCAGCTAATGCAAACGAGTGTTACAGTCTTTAAAAGAGATGCACTTCAGGCAGTATAGTTACGGCATGAGAGGGGATTAAAATACAAGGTCAAACAAGCAGCAGATAAGCCCTACTCTGACTGGTACAAACATTTTTAATAGTGAGAAGTGACAGTGAAAACTCCCTGCATCCAGCTAGGTTAGGAAAACCTAACTGTGTACTGACACTGCCAAAATACTAAAATGCTCCTGCAGATAAAGGTTTCAGACTAGGATAAGGGAAAGGGGAAGACTGGTAGAATCAGAAACATCTGCAAAAATTAAAAAAAAAACTAATATGGATCTACACTACCTCTGGATAAAAAATGCATGTTTGAAACATTATTGATTGCAGACACCTGGTGATTTAAGAAGCATACAAATCATTTCAGAAATACAGATGATGTGAACAATCCATTATGAATGACAGAATGTGACACACACTCAATCTTCTTACCTTCCTTGCTGCTGCGGTTGAAGAATATCCAACAGAAGTTGCTTCACTTCACTAGGAGACAGCTGATATAAGTCCATAGCAGGCATATCTCCAGCACGAAATTTTAGTTCATACTTCATAGCATGGATAATCCATCTGAAGCATAAGAATTAAAATATATTCTAGGATATCATAGGTACACATATCTTTTAAAAAGTTCAGGTTCATACTTTTTAATATTATTTTTCTCTTAACTACATAGAGGCTGGAAAAAGGTTATCACATAGTATTTTAATTTTAATATTAATATACCAAGATATTATAAATAATATAATCAAGGCAATGTTAATATAATATTAATAATACAATATTAATATTTTAATATTACTATATTATTTCTGAATTGTAGAAAGCATGCTTTCACTAGAAGGAAAGCGAAATTTCCTACAACAAAACAATCTAACAGAATATTCTATAGAGAATCCAGAAGATCTTGCTTGCATTTCTTTGGCTGCTGTAAGATGCATTGGCAGAAGAGTCAACAAAAGGATATTCTGCTCATTTAACTTTATAGTAGAATTTATTCACAGTGTCACAGTGCTTTTTCTATGTTTGATGGAAACATAATATTATTTATGCATTGCCGCTTTAGAAGAATTGTTATAAAACACCCTTCATATAGAAGATATGTTTGCCCAGATATTCCTTCATATCACAAATATTCAAAAGTCGCTATGTGACATTTGATGTAAAAAAATAATAATTAAAATTATGCTCTTTCAATAAATAATGTAGCTTACTGAAGGATTTAAAAAGACAAAAAAGTAAAATTATTCTGCATGAGAAAAAATATGGCTTGGTGCAATTTTAGCTTTTGAAATTCATTTTTGCAACTTGTCACATTTTTCTTTCATTTACTGTTCCATTTTGAAAGGATTTGATTAAAATAATTACGAAACCAGTGAAGCTTTCCTGTTCAACAGTGCCTTGGATCTTAGGAAAGCACATTTGATAAACCATTACAAAGAAGGCTGAAAATGTTTCTTGTTACATATCATAGAAACAAATCAAGTCCTTAACTGAATAAGATGAAAAGATACCTTATTACTAGATAAATCTGGGAAGCAAGGTTACTTAAAAGGAGCCTTTACTTTCTTCACTGTAATCACTTCAGCACCTAGATTCTAGTGTCAGAAGTTAAATTTGACAAGCTCCAGTGCTGTGGGCACTCAGCTTCTATCAGGTAAAATGGTGCTAGAAACTAGGGACCTCAGCTCAGAAAAGCAAGACTTGCAAATCTCTATATCTGGTATTTCTACAGGATTCACCTACCACAATTATACCCAAATTTCACACACACTAATTTAGCATATAGTATATCTTCCATTGAACTTAATCACTAAAGCCAAATTTGGATAGTTAAATGAATTTCTTCTATTTAAGTAACTCATTCACAAGCCTCAAAGTATAACTTCGTAGACAAGAAGATCCTGAAGTTTTGTGATACCAACAACTCCTAGAGCTAAATGCCTGTTCTACATTTGTGATTGGAGTACTGTCAGTGAAGGATGCAAGATATGGGGAACAACATAAACAGGCAAAGGAATAAATAGCATTAGGCTGTAAGGAGTTGGTTTCCTCTTGAGAAGTGAATGCATTTTGGTAAGAGAACAAGTTAAGAGAGAGGAAAAATTATACCTGGAAACATTCCAGCTTTGCTCAACACAGCTACTTAGAGTCCTGACTCGCACTGATGAGCAGTTAAATGGATGAGTAGTCCCCTTGTTTTCAACCAGAATTAACTGCTCACTAGTGAGACTGGAATCTGGTGACAAATATGGCATGTAAAGATTTAGAAGGTTTAAGAAGTTTTCCTAATTTTATAGGTCTCAAATATGCAAACTGTCTTCAGGCACATCAGGGTTACGCATTTTAATTTTGCAATATGTGCATATTCATTGTAAAGAAAGAGGAATAAGAGCAAACTGGACCAAGACAATGAAAAAATTAAACACAGATGCTAATTTCTTTGTGGTCATAAATAAGAACACCATACTGGTAATGACCCTGAAAGTTTTCTGAACAGATCATTGTTTAGGATATTCTTCAATTTCATTAAAAAAGCAGCCCAGTAACTAAATTCTTAAAAAAAAAATGTATACGAAGGGAAAAGACAGAAAAATAAATATATAAAATATACTTTGTGAACGTGTACATGGTAGATTAAAGGGCTCATAAATTTTGCTGTACCATAGTTTTAATCAACATTTGGTGCCTCTATAATTGTCAGAAAAAGCAAATTATATCTGTGTTGTTTAATGGAATATTAAAACCACTTATAAAACTTGGCATATTGCCATACTAACACAGCAACACTTAGAATTAAATTGTCTGCTCAGTGGTGCTTATCTGGAGCAAGTCACCTGGATTTCTACTTTACAGACTAAACACAAAATTAGAGCTTGTGTTTACTTTTTAATTAATGACAATTTCATTTACATAAGACTTTTATCAAATATGTTCCAATATAAAAAGTTGGTACCCTTGTATTCAACCAATTAGCAAACTACCATTGTTACATCAGTAAATTATCACAATACATTTATTTTTAATGCATAACATTTCATCACCTTTTAAAAATTAAAATAAAAAGTTATGACGTTTTGTAGTACTCAAGTGGCACTGTCTTCATTTGCTCTAGGGAATCTAAATGTCACAACTACAGTGAAGTCTTTGGATGTATGTTTGGTCCTCCACAAATGAAATACCTGAAGTTCCTTTGTTACCTGTATGCCTTTTTAAAATTTGGTATTATTATTAAAAAGTTAAAGACTTAAGTAAAGCCCTTCAGCACACAATCAAAGAAAAAAGACAAAGAATCTGATTTTTCCCCCCACTAAAAGCAGTTGCTTACATCCACGTCTCAGTGTAGAAGAAGGACAGTATGTAAAACAACTATTCAAAATGAAATGGCTTTAAAAATATTTTTATTAAGTTTCTTCTCACAAGTTTGTGCAATATCTGGTATCATGAAACTTTGACAAAGGCACACAGATCTTTGGCACAAACTGACAAAAAGTTACAGCAGAGAAATGTAACTGTCAAACCTGTTGAAGCTTGACAATCTAATGCATCAACCCATCTTAGCTGACAGTCATCTACAATAGTCTATAACCTAAAAATAGAGACTACATGCAGCTCTAATCCAGTTAATAAATGAATTCAGTGGTGCTAGAGACCAACGGATACACTTATTTCAGTCTATACACATGAAGCCAGAGAATATACTTTTATTGGGGCCTACCTTTGGAAATGTAGCCCTATTGTTTCTTTGTATTGTTTTATTTAAGACAAACATTACTTCAGTCCTTTGAACCAAGCTGCTATGCACTGCAACAGGGGTTTGGAAAGGAGATTGTTTATGATTCCTTAGTTCTCTGGCTGGTTCTGCACCAGGGAGTTAGGGGGAAGATGATGTAAACTCCATCCCCTGACAATCAGGGGGCCATTTGGTAGATAGGCAACAGGGCTAGGAACAGACATTCCAGATAAACTGCTTTAAAAGTGATCAGAAACATACATTTAGTGCACATAAACCAGTTTCAAAATGGCTGACACTGATTTAAGATAAACCTGGTTGAATGTAGTATCAGACTTAACTGAATTGGGTCAAAACGGTTTATGTAATGTCTGTCCCAGACCCCTTCCTGGTTTAAGTTAAACCAGAGTCCCCCAGCATCCCAGATGCTTTGCAGCCCTGCACTGGGCTAACTGCTCCAGAACAGGGCTGGCCCCACCCCTCTGCTCCCTAGCCAGAGCTCTGGTGGAGACTTCAGGCATAGCAGCTTCTGTCTGGCTTCCCCCTGCCCCCACCCACTGCTTGCTGCTCAAGCAGAGATTTTCCCCCCTCCCTCTGGCCCTTCCTCCCATCTCCCACAGCACGGACCCCAGCCCCGCAGACCTTAGGCATGTGATATGCTAGCTAATGTTGAGAGGGGTGTGTGTGTGTCCAATTTCACTGGGACACGCAGACAGAACAGAACAGTCCACTTAGGGCTTTTTGGAGCTAATCGAGAGGTCATCTGGTAATGTCCCTCTGTTCCTTCCTTGGAAAAAGCTCTTTAAGAAGAGCTTGAACTAATGAGAGATTTTTGTTTTGTTGACAGGATGATAAACACTGTGTTATCAGCCCCCTCCTGGCCCCCTGCCTGGCAGGTTTCCAGACAGTATGAAGAAGAAGGGAGACGAAGATTGAAAAGCTCAGTATCATCAACAGATGCATGCATTGCACATATGCCCTTTGCCTTAGAGTGCTAGTCGGGGGCTGGGAACACTCCCACCCACTGAGCAGAAAGTGTGGAAAAGCCTGGGATGGTGCAGGCAGGGTGGGGGCCCCTTTCTAATCAGAGCATCCTGCAGGGACCTGGCCACCCCTCCGCTCAGTTCAGCACTGTAGAAGTGGAGGGTGGGGTGCTCTAGTGTCCCCCCCTTTTAGCCTGAGCCATTGCAGGCATGGGCCTGCATTTCTTCAGTTGAGAGAGAATATCTGTGCATTTGCAAACTCGTTCAACCTAGGCAGATTAGTTTAACTTGCAAATATTGAATCACTGTAGGCTCAGGCCTTTTGAATGTCCATCCCTAGCCTAAGAGTACAGGACATTCCAGTCAAGTCCATTCCCCAAACCAATTATATTCCCCATGCTGTGACTAAAGGAGGACTTCCTATCTGAATGAAAATCAAGTCAGGAAATTATGGCTAGTTTTTCTCATAGCGTACCCCCAAAATACTGCAAAAGAAGCAGAAGCAGCTAAAGATTCCAGGCATAATGTTTACTCATAGCAGGTGAAAATAGCTTTCATGCTATATAAATGGTGTTACTATTTTCAGCTGATGCCTTGTTAGGTGGCATGCTGGACCTCATTGTTTTAAAATCTGAAATTACAGAAAAATCTAGAGTAACTAAAACTACTAGTTTTGATTAAAGAATGTTTGGCTTCTGTAGAAAGTAAATTGCAAGGTTTTGTAATCCCAAATCACAGGATCACTCAGGAAACCTAAATCAATTACATTGCAACTCTTCCAAGTACAGTTAAAAGTAGTCATATCCTAGTTCACTGATGCTCTGCCTTCTAACCCTGTGGGCCAAATTAGTGACTGATCTATGGCCATATGTTCCTGTGCATCCTGGCCTGTGGGGCTATGTCATCTGGCTTGTGAGGCTCCTCACAGGTCTGGAAATGTAATGGTGGGGGAATGGTAATAGCATTAATTGCCATAGCAATTAATACTGCCATCACACCCCCGCTACAAAATTTCCAAACCTGTGGAAAGCCCTACGGGCTAGATGACACAGTCCCAAGGGCTAGATTCAGGTTGCAGGCCAGAGGTTGAGCACCACTTTTGTAGTTTATGCATCTTCCTTGTCCACCTTCTACAGAAAGTCCTTAAAGCCCCTCAACCCACTTTTATCCCAAATCTGACAAATGTTAATATACACCTTGAAATCAGATCCTTCCTTTCCTTTCTTTTTAAACTAGGATGTATAGCAAGATGTAAAAATATTAATTAAAAGTTTGGTATCTGGAGTTAAAGACATTTAACATATTTCTGTGTCTGTGGCAAAGGACAAACAGGTATTAACTATACAAGAGGAAGCTGTATTCTACATGATAATGAAGAAACAATGAAATTGTGGCAATTTAATTAGTCATATCAATACTGTGTACAGCATCTGAGTGACAGTTCCTCATGGTTGGATGATTAAAAAAAAACTAAGGTAAATTAAACCATGTGAATCATTATTACCCCAACCTGTCACATGTCAGAAACAAAAGGTGCCAAAATTGCTTTCAGTGGAAATGAGGAAATGGACACAATTTAAGGGCATCAATTACACCCCTTTTATTTATCTAGACAAAGCAACATCATTGTCTTGTGACTAAAAGACAGAATTACCTTCTCTGGGAATCAGTTCATTTATACACAGTTTAGTTATCAATGCAGAGATTCACAGAAAAGATATTTTCTGTTTGTAATTGCTTATGTGAAATTTTCTGGCAGTATGAAAAGTGGAGATGAAAAATCGCTGATAAAATAAACCTTTAGAGGCATCTTCCACTAAAACCTGACTGACAGAGCTTAGGTAGAAAGCAGTTGATTGGAGGTCTTTACAGTAATGGGCCTGTCAGGAACTTGATCTATTTCAACATTAACGCGAGAGCACAAATCAATAATGAGACACCAAATCAAATGATTATCAGAATAGAATACCATTTCTGCGAGAAGGTTAATTTTGCTCACTGAAGTGGGTGATAACAGTGAAATAAAGGAAATTTAATCTATAGGATTAACCTTGGAACAAGAAAGAAAACTGGCACCTTGGGATTGGCTTAAAAAAGATTGGGGTGGATAACATGAATAAGCAAACATTATAGAAATATTTGAACTGAAAAAAATAAATGTCCTCATGACTATCAAATATTCACTGTCAATAAAGCAAATATTTGACTAAATGTAGAGACAAGTTGACTGTAAAGCATAACTACTGCATTTGGATACTTTTCAAATTGTATATGTACTTGCAGTTACTTTCCTTGTAAAATGTCTGCCAATCATTTCCAGTGCTGGAATGCTACATCCCATATGAGAAAATGGTAAAGAATAGAGCACTCAAAATTTGTTTCGGTTTTAGAGGTTATTTCTTATTTTACATATGAAGAATCTCTCTGAAGTCTAGCCCAAAATTAGAATTAATTTTAAGCTCACTCACTGTACTTCTAGGAAAGACATGGTCATGTATGTGCTGCTTCTTCTGCCTTTCAAAAAGACTGTTTTTGTTAATCAAAAGATTTGCGTCAACCTAGCTGTGTCAGACTAAACTGATCTCCTGAAAAATACTAGTATAGCTGTGAATACCATGAAATGTGATAGAACGCTAATAAATAAGTACAAGTCATGTGCACATCATACTAATACACTTATACAACATTAATTCCTGAATTTTTCTATTATTTGCTTTACAATTCACATTTGTTAGTATAATTGTTAGTTACAGTACAGGACAAATAGCTAACACCCAAAAAAGCTGCGTGTCTGTGCAGGAGCTATAGCTACAAAATGTATTCAACTGAAAACACAGAACTTGCACATTTCAGAAGAAAAAATAAGTACCTATAATCCTTACATAAAATTACATTTATGTGACAATAAATAAAAAGGTCCTAACTGCCCTTCATAGTATTACAAAATTAGTGCTTCTGTATGGAGACATGCTCTCAAACAATGGCTCCAACAAGCCAGACACAGACGTGCCCTTTTTCAACATCAAAAGCAAGTTTGGGCCTTAACATATTGGCTGAAAATCTAACATGGCACAAAGCATTTAAAATGTGGAGGCAGCAGCTTTTTGCCATCTGAAATGTGCATACCAGGCTATGCAGCAGCAGAACCACTTGGATTTTAACTCCTGTTTGCATATGGAAGTTATTACTGTGTTAATAAACATTGTGAAAAAGTGTTATCACCAAAAGGTTCCGAAAAGTTTTATTTCTGTACAATCTGGGATAAGTACAGAACATGTAGTCCAAACAGGCTTGAAAGTTGCAGTAGTTTAGAGTTGGTAAATTTCATTTTGCTAGTACTTCTGGATGTTATTGGTAATTAATGTAATGGCTATATAGCCCTTAGCACCAGAGACTCCTTGCTAAATGGATTATCTGAATGATATATTAGAGAAACTGATCAAAAACTGATATTTTAACCACTAACTTAAAAAGAACAAGGATCAGTCAGTATTATTATAGAAGAAACTCATTGTAAACGATGTGTAGCTAAACAGTCAAATACGCATCTGAGTGTTTTGAAAGCATGCAAAAAATGCACGTGTTTTAACAATGCGGGAATAAATATTTACTCTTTTATGGAAAAAATAAAGCAATGTTTAGTTCTAAAATACATTATGGAAGTAAAATTATTTTTTTCTGCTATTTTTCTTCTTTATTAGGAATCTTCTAAACCACACATAACTACAGCTTCATGTTATACTAGAATAACATATTTATCTTTATTGACAGAGTATTTAAAGGAACCAGGAAATTTTTCTTAACCCAAGAAAACTGTGGATACAGAGCAGTAAAAACAAAACAGCAGGGGGTTAAGTTTGTCATAGGTGGTTTGTGTAAAGTTTAAAAAGAGTGTAAATTAACTCTGACAACAGTAATCCAGGGAGAATCCATTAGAGAAAAAAAATACATGATGTCATGAAATCTTGGAAAACAGCTTGCCTTCATTTTATAAGCTTTGTTTAATGTCTAAAAAGGTCAACATAGCGTTATATAAAAGAAATACTCATTTTACTGCAAACTGGATGCATTTTGCACAGCAACAAAAATATTAATACACTTTCCATTATAAAAAAATCACTTTTTTCACATAAAAAGCTTTTTAATAGAAATGGTACAGCTGACCTATATCCTAATGAATAATCTGAGGTTAGGCTGGAAAGGTAAGTATACAGATTAAAAAACAAAGCAGACAGGATATTAGCAGTAGTTCTGTCAATGGTACCCAAAACTTTTCAGCAATTACAAGAGTTAATCAACCAAGATATACCATCTAGTGCCTACTGACTCTTATTCTATGGTAGGTGTTCTAACTCAACATAAAATTCTGGTTGTGCAACATTTCAAACATTTGGGAGAGCAGCACAAACTCCACGTTAGACAAGGCACAGAACTGAGTGGGAAATAAGTGGGGTGGTAAAACTGTAGTAAAATCTTGTTCCCAATGAAGATTGGGATACTTTCTGTTGACTTTAAATGTGAATTGGATAAGGGTCTAGAAATAGTGCAGGAGAACAGTAATAAAAAAAAAACCCTATCACAACCATCAACTCTAATAACAGATATTATTGATCTAGTACTGTTGCTCTATGTTAATTAGAAAGTGTTTATATCTTTGGCATTTCCACCTTGGGTGGAATTCAAGAATCAGATTTGAACTTTCTAGGATATTTTGAACAACACAGAATAAAACAGCATTATAAAATGTGAAACTTCTGGACTAGGAACAGAAGTTACACACAAACCAGTTTAAGTGATCAGAAACTGGTTTAAACCTGTAACAGAACATAAGTTCAGTGCATATAAACCAGTTTCAAAATGACTGAAACTGGTTGAAGACAAACCTGGTTGAATGTAGTATCAGACTTAACTGATTTGGGTCAAACCAGTTTATGAAACTCCTGTCCCAGACCTCTTCCTGGTTCAAGCTAAACCAGAGTCCCCCAGCATGCTTTCCAGCCCTGCCCTGGGCTGTGCTGTCTGCTCCAGCAAAGAAGGGTTGTGGGAGTAAGAGGGGAGGGCAGGGACTGCTTCTCATAGGCAAACCCTGGCTGGGGGCTGGGAACAAGGAGTGGGGTTAAACACATCTCTCCCCACTCAAACTTACTACTGGCTGCTACTGTGGACTACAAATCCCAAAGGCACCTGGAAGCAGCCTCTGCCTGTGCCTGGAAGCAGGAAGAGTCCTGCTGCTGTGAGGCTAGACTGCAAATCCCAGAAACCTTGGGGGCAGCAGGAAGAGGAAGTGAACACACAGCCCATGCTGGTTATATGCCAGAGAGCCGGGCTTCTGGCCTGAGCCACTGCAGACATTGTGGCTGCATTTCCTGAATCAAAAGTAAATGTGTGTCCAGTTGTTTCTTAGTTTAATCTCAGACTAACCTGCAAAGACTGAATTGATTTAGCCCTGCGCTTCTTGACTGTCTGTACTTCAGCCCTGGTGTATATATTGGCAAAATCTATTATAATAAATCTATTTGCTTCAGTAGTGCTTTTTTATCCTTATGTATAAAAAAAGAGCTACCCATTGGGTGCTACGGGTAACCAGCTGATTTTATCTCAAGTTAGTTGGAGCTTCCAATTTCCGTACATTTTAATTTTTAAATGGTGGTCAGGAATGACGAAGTGAAAAATATCATAAACGGATACAAACTTAACTGTATTTGTTCATATAAATTATTACCACAATCCACTTGAGCATCTAGCTGCTACCACAATACACATTAATTATTATAATAATTATAAAAAGCATTTTACTAACCCAACACGTATTTTTAACATGCCACTGAAAAGTTCAGGTGAGTTTGAGATGATCCAGCCAATATGTATGACAAGTTCTTGCTGAATAACAGCTTCCCTTTGATCTTGTAAATTGCAATTATTGTAAATGATGTTCTTAATCACTCCTGGGGATAGAGGGTTAGAAATAACTTCTTCTTCTTCTTGGCCGAAAGCTCCAAGAGTTACCTAAAGACATAACAACATTGTGGGGGTAGGGAACCAGAAACAACAAAACACAAGAGATAAATCTGCAAGTTAAATTTCCTACACTAACATTCCCCTGTTAAGATTGTACTTGAGACAAAAAAAAAGTTCGGTGTTAAATGAATGGAAATAGTGGTTAGCATGACTGCTATTCTTACTAAAAATAAATGTATTGAAGCAAAAAATCATAATCCCAACCAAAATGTGCTTATTAAATCACCACTATATTTTAAGAGAGTTTGGATAATGTAACATGTCCATGATTGTACAACTAATCGAGAAATTCCTTTATCTCCTGTTTTTACTGAGGCTTCCTAAAAATTCAGTATCATAATACTTGTTACTAGTTTCTTAATATTTCAATACTTTTCTCCAAAATTATGTTCTAGGTTTTAAAATGGTAATAGAATCCCAATATCAATATTTTCAGTAAAAGCATACTTAAAAATATAAAACTCTAAAGTACTCGTACTCTACTTCCAACAGAACAAAGCAACTTGCTTTCTCACAAAAAATGACATTATAAATGGGTTGATAAGAACAGGTAATTAAAAACAAACAAAAATAAGCAACTACAAACCATGCTACATGCTCATTCATTTTCTTCTATAGCTACATAGCACCAGAAGCATACCATCAACTCTCTTGTCCAAAATGGCTGAATGACAAATAAGTCATTTCTGTCCAATATTTTTTAGTTTCAAGTAGTTTCTTATGAACTTATCATCAGTTTTTTGTCTTCAGAGGACAAACAATAGTTCCATTTAGGTGAGAGACAAACATCCCATATTAAACTGTTTGGGGCACGTGAATAGAAGAGAAAAACCACCAGAATCCCTGTAACAAGTGGGCATCCCAGGGCCTGTCAGTCACTGGCTCACCCACTTACCTTGGGACTAACCGCCTGCCTTCCATTCCTGCCATGCCTTTATGTTAATGATTATGTGATGTTCATCAGGCAGGAGAGGCTACCCATTTACATGCCCCAATGACAAGGCCTATGCAAACAGCTCAGACCACCCCTGTACTGTGTCTCATGTCTTGCAGATGTTCTCTCAGTGCTACACACTGGGACCCAAGCTCCAGAGTCTCACATAGGACTTTCATTCCCCACTGGAGCTCGTAGTCTCACTGCCTTCTCACTGGGCTCTCTGGTGTCCTTCACTTAGGGCTCCAAGCTCCATTTCAATTCTGGGTTCCCAACCCCATCCCAAGTCTGGGCTCCAAGCCCCTAACAACCCCAGGCTCCAAGCCCCATTTCCAATTAGGGCATCCAGCCCCACTCTGGGCTCCAACCCTATATGTCCCACACTGTCAAGTTTCAACATGCTAGGTTACAAGTATCCCCAAGCTTATCCCATGCCCTACACTGGGCCTCAACAAACCCTTTATCCCTTTGCTCCAGGAGCTTCTCATATAGCTCCTTGAAGGCTCAGGGCCCCACCCCCTGGAGCCTCACTCCTGGCTCCTATGTGCAGCTTCAGAGCTCACAGTGAATCTGGGCTCTTGCTTTCCTATTTGGGGTGTGCTCTCCTAGCCTTTCCCCTCCACAGGGTCACCCGCAAGGCAGCTGGGGCTGAGGCTTTCTGGTGCACCATACTTGCCCTTCACTGGGAAGGTCCCAGGTGTAGTATTTCCTGGAAGCTGCCCTGCCACAAGCAGCCCCACTATACCATCCAACCCCAGCAGGGTGTAGTTTTAGGTTATACCCCAGGACTAGGAGCCTCCAGCCATCCCCATTGCTCCTACCCTTACCTCCAAGGTGTCACAAGCAGCAACCCTAGCCAGGCTGCTGTTCTCCCGGATGCTAGCAGGCAAACTGTTGCTGGCTTTCTGTTTAGGGCCCTGCTCTTATAAGGGCCAGCTGGGCCCCGTTCCTATTCAGGAAGTTGAGCCTAACTGGTGATTGCCACCAGCTGCAGGCTACCTGGCTGCTGCCTACACCTCTGCATGTAACAGAGCACACTGCTACTTAACCTGCTACTTCCTGTGCAAAACTAACATCTCTTTTAGTTTATTAGACTCATAATTATTAGATTTATATATATATATATATATATATATAAATAAAAAAATCAACCTTTTCTATGAATACCTTTCTATTACTTGCTTCCATCCACTTTTTGTAAAATAATTTCTCCATATTTTGTTACATGTATTCCTCCTAAACTGTGCCTATACCATCTTCCCCTCTGTTTTCCCATCTAGGTTTTGGTCTACTCAACTATCTATTCTATACTGCTCTCTCAGCTTCATTAAAGAAAAGCATGTTGTAGACCACAAGGTCTATACAAATTATCAAAAGCAATACTTTTTTTTTGTTTAATTATTTTCTGTTACTGAATATATAATCTTTAAGTTTTGGGTACTTCAAAAAATATCTGTGGCCTTCAAGATGACAAAGCCTTTATACATTTTTCTCTTGATTATCATTCCTTAATGCAATTCTAGAAAATAAAGACTTACCTGTTTGCCCTGAACTAAAACATTAGTAATAGATGGTGCAAGGCTGTCCACTAGTTTACCTAAAAGACTTGCTGCGAAGCGCACAACAGACCTGAGGGCAGAAAACAAAGCAATCCGACTGGACATTAACTGCTAGTCTAATGAATTCACATATATGTCTGAATTCTGGTACCACATTTTATAGTCCCAAAGCACTAATCATGTAAATATATGGAGTACTTCTGCTAGATAAGTAATGTCAGATAAGCTTTTATTTTGGGGACAATTTCTAGATTTTTATTAATTACAAGAACAAGCAAAGAATGACTGCATTGGGAACTCATTAAACTACAAACTGCACAAAATAACCGGCTGTTCTTTTCTCTCACAACATTTTGAGAAGAGAGCCTGTCATAATAATTTCTTCTATCAAAATGTCTACTTTTGTTTGGTGATAATTTCACCAATTTGCAGTTAGTGAAAAAAAGATTATTTCCTCCTTTCTGTTTATTTTGAAAAGATTTTTGTTGTAAGAGCAAGTACAGCACACACAAAACATAGTTGATTACTTTTTTTTTTTTTACTTTTTTTGCCTAAAGGCATTTTATAGGTGAATGATGAAAAGAAGAGAATCATGTAAAGTGCTAGGTTTAAAACCGGCTGCAACTTCTAAGGACAACTGAACTGACATACAGCTCTTACCATTAAAAAATAACATAGTTCTATAAATTGCCTTTTGTGACAAATAGAAACTGAACAGATGTGTGTTTAAGCTTTTCTAAACATGGATTTTGAGGGTGCAAATACTCATTTATCAACAGAGTTAATGAACAAATTGTAATATTCCATAGTTAGTACAAAATCCATCAACTAAATTTATGTTGACTTCTGTGAAGACTGCTGTGCACTCTAAGATCAAGAGCAAAGCATTTCAAAACTGCATTAGCTGATACTATCAAAATGCAAATAAAAGCAAAAAATCTCAAGCAGCACCATTTCAGACCTTTCTGCACTTTACCTGTTTCCCATGTACCAGTAAAGTAGTAATATGTGGGGCTATAGAGGAAGCATATTTCTGTGCAAATGCAGCAGTGTAGCGTACCACCAACCTAGGTGTGTCATATGACAGTCATGAAAAAGAAATGAAAAATAATACTGTTTACATATGTTTGTTTTATAAAAAATCCTCAGATTAGTATACATTAAAAAGGCTAACAATGAAATAAAATAACAACTTTTGTTACTTGGTTATAACTCTGTTTCATTGTGTGAACAGATTAAACTGAAACCTGAAATCAATTCTTGTATTTCCTTAGTTATTATCTTTTTCAAACAACCCCTTCTGGTTAACAAGATTTACAAAGTGAAATAGTACAATGTATCATAGGTTCAAATCTCTTCTGCAATAAGAAAAAAGATTTCTATTATGCTTTAGTCAAATAGAACAATTATCCAGCAAATACAGTAGACTTAATTTTCCAAAAATCTTTTGAAGTTATTCTGGTAAAGCCATCCTTAACTCAAATGACTTCAAGAGTAACAAACAGTAAACAGCTCAGATATACTGAGTTAGGTTATTAAATGTAATTTAGGTTAACTTTTGAACACCTACTTTGGCACAGAGAATCGTTTTATATTGTAACATTCCCTGAAAAAATTGATCCTCTTATGTGCTGTGATCCATCTCTTGTTTCCTCAGTACTATACATCTATAGTACAGTTTGTTACAAAGACATTTTTAACACTGTTCTACAGGAACAAATGGTTAACAAATTCATTTTCATTTGTGTCTCAAGGTTAACAGCTAAGGGTTGGTTCACAGCTGGTATAAATTAACAAAATCCCATTGAGGTCAGTGCTTTCTTACATTATTTAAAGATCTGGATTAAAGTTTTGAGAATACGCTGAAAAAACCTCCAAGCACCTTTATTTGACAGAGCAGATATGAAACACAAAAGATTCTGTGTACAAACCAGAGCTTTTTGCTACCAGCACGTCTGTAGATTCTTTCAATATGGTCAGAGACTGTACCTAAAAAACAGTTAAAAAAAAAAAGTGCCAATGGATTGTTATTCAACAATAATAAAGTTAAATTTGATGTTATGTAGTGTCAATTTAGATTCAGCAAAACATTTAGCTTGTTCTAAGTCCCTTAGCTGCTCTCTTTGGCCGTGTGCAGACGAGAATGGCTGTGCAGTATGTGGCACCACAGGTATGTTTTGTGGTGCCATATACCACACATTCAGTTGTTCTCCGCACCGCAAGGGATCAGTGTGGGTTGGGGGGTTTGACCCCGGGGTAACTTGCTGCATGCCAGAAGGCGTGTGGCATAGGTGATCCCCAGGGACAACTAGCAGTGGCACAAGGTACACCGCTGCTAGTTGCCCCCAGGGAACCTAATGTCCATACACATGTGGATGAAGCCTTTGGGTGCATACAGATGTTTGGGGAGGTTAGCAGGTTAGATCATGTTAATGGCCACCTAACATAACTTAGATCAACCTACCTCTGCACCGAGGCAAACTAAGTGCACACTGTACAGAAGGTCCAGGAAGGTTAGATCAATCTACGTTACCCTATATCTGAAGTAGTGTAACTTAGATTAGGTGGCCATTTTTAGACTAATCTAACTGTCCCAAACTTCTACTTAGTTTCAAGTGTAGCTCCAGGGCTGGGAAAGCCCAGTCACTGGCCCCAAGCCCTAGGGCTGTGCTTTTCCTACCCCCCACCCCGCAGCACTGGGCTATTTTTATCCCCTGGGATCCATGATTTGACCCCAGGTGGACAATGTCCCCATTCTCCTCCCCATGGACCAGACAGTCCCCTCCGTACACCAAACCCCCATCCCACAAGCCGCTCTCAGTGCCAGTTTTATCAATGTTTGCTGATGCTGGGAGCTGAGACAGAAAGTCTAGGTGGGGGAGAGGTGGGGGGGAAGATTGTTCATCTGGGAGTACGGGGGCTCAGATTGCTAAAAATAGCTAAGGTCATCCTCCCAATCCTACCAAACCCCCACAGACCTCACCAAACCTGCCTTCCACAGACCCTGCCTGCCCCCCTGATTTTCCCTGTGGATCTTGCGTGCCTCCCCCCACTCCCGCCCCAGCCTCCTGCAGACCCTGCCAGCCCCACCGATCCCTCCCGCAGATTCCACTTGCCCTCTCAATCCCTCCAATCCTTTTGCAGATGCCACATGCCCCCTGTTCTTTCCTTCAGGCCCCTGTCCCTCTGATTTCCCCCCTCTCTCCATCCCAATAATTTCTCCAACTTCTCCCACTAGCCCCTCCCATCCCAACTTATCTTAGATCAGGTGGCCATTTTTAACTCAATCTAACCTTCCCACACGTCTGTACCCAGCTTTAGTCTATCCTCCTCCAGTCAAGAACTAAAATTTTTTTCTCACCAGACAGTTCTGAAGTTGCTCAAAGGACTGAAAAGGGCTTTCCCCCAGTAAAAGTCCTGTTCAACTTTGGCATCTGTATTTGGTTTTCTGGTCTCTGATGAGCCCATGCTCTGAAAGTATGGCAGTGGGCTCCTTGCTCTGCCTCTTAACAACAGTGACCTTGCTGGATGCCTTAGAAGGAAAGTTGGTAAAATCCAAGCCCCTATAGCAGATTCACTGTGTACTATGTTCTACCCAGATAAAGCATTCTTAAGGATTTTTCCTGATTTCCTGCCCAGGGGTTTACAGAAGTTCAGCAGTTAGAATATTAACTTACTGGTATTTTCCCCAGAAAATCGAGAGCCAGGACTTTGCAAAAAAAACGAAAGGACTAAACCACTTGCACAGAACTTTAAGAAAGCCTGCAGCTATTTTCACCGTAGCCAAAACTTCCAAAGATACAGTAATATTAGCACAGAGATAGTCTAATTTGATCTCAGATTCTGTCATGCTATGTTACGAGACTGCCACAGTGGGACTGCCTTCCGCAGTCAAGAAACTTCGACAATTAATGTTGGCATAACTGAACCCTGCAAGGCAACCATGCATTTCATCACCAAATACTGGGCAATTGCAGAAGGTTCCATAGCAGAAACTGTTTGGTAAAGCGACCTCTCCAGTTACTGCTCACCTAAAACTAGTTCTAAGACCACCCCCTTTAACCATGTGGGCATTGCTTTGGATTCACTCTCAGTTTGAATGTGATTATGGACAGATCACTGGCAGCCCATGAGCTACATGCAGCCTGTGATGGGTTACAACTAGATCTGTAGGTTCCTGCCTGGCCTACTTCTCCCACAGTTCCTGCTGCGGCTGGAGTTTGAACCCTACCCACCCTACCTCCAGCTTCATCTTCCTGCCCTCACCCCTGGGGGGAGTTTCAAAGGCCACATGATGTGTAGTCCTTGGCTGCTCAGAAGCGGATAGCCCTGTGTTACATAAACAAACAGCTGTTTTGGGGAACCTTTACAAAGCCGGCATTCTTATCGGGTTGTTTGTATCATTTCCCTGAAGAATCAAACTGTAGAACAAGAGCATCTGCAAGGTTGGATTGCTCAGAAACACTGTATTTATGTTACCAGTGAGCATGGGGGTTCTACAGAGATCCTGTAGCTTACAGACATTCTGTGAAGGGCATGGATAGAGCTTTTATCCAGAGAGTATTGCCAAAGAGGCCAAGAGGCCTACCCTTCAAAGCAGAGGATTAACTACAATGAAACCTGTCCACTTTTGCAGGACTGAAAAATTGCAGTTGGACTGGAAACCACCACATAGGAAGTAACAGTAAGAAAACTTTTAGTTAATTGGGTTTGAGATATCTACTGGATTTAAAATTCATAGCCAAGAGGACTGCTTTTCTCTACAGGACTTTTTTGTACTACAGGTACAACAATACCATTGCTTCAAGAGTAAATTTAGCTGTATTAGAAACTTGAGTTGCCAGATCATAGCAAGATCAGAGCTTCAGAACTCTGGGGATATCAGCCGGGAGCTTCTTCACACCATTATATGGTGCAAAATGAAGAACAGATAAGAAGATTTTGGTTTTTCCCATTTGTATATGTTTTAAACTAGCTATTTTGTGTTTAATATCAGTCTCAGTGTGCTAGTATAGGATGACAGGAGTTCAGTCAGGGATTAATGTTTTTAGTGCAAGGTCAGCAGATAATAAGGTTATTGCTGTTCACTATTTCATCTTGGATAAAACCGCTGACTTGGCATAGTTTACTGCAATCTGGTCAGATACATTGTAGGAACATCATTAAGCCCAAATGTTTATATATGGTTATTTAGTTAATCAAAAGTTGATGTATGGAACGATACGGTGGTTGTGTTAGTTACTTTCACCTTTAATACAGGACGGTTTCCTACAAGACGTTTCATCACCTTGTTTGGTGATGTAATAAACTGGGTATTCCAAACAATGACCCTATAGGGCTACTGAGGTCAAAGCAACATTTAAGGTCAAAGAAACATTTTTAGATTAAAAAAAGATATTAACAATATAGGTGGTCACTTCTCCCTCATGTTCAGAAGCTGAACAAGCCTTTCCTAAAACTTCACAAAAACCTTACAATTTTATATTTTTAAAATACAGAATATTATATTTGATGTGGTTTCTGACCTGTGATTTATAAAGTGATACTGTATGTAAGATGTGTTTATATCAGGAGAGCCAAGTCTCACTCAGGTTTCCCACCCTTAAGGTTAGGACCAGGGGTTGTCAACCAGCGGTACATGTACCCCCAGGGGTACTTGGAACAATCCTAGGGGATATAACAAGAGTGGGTGGGGATGGAGCACTGCCGCCTACCACCATGAGCCACTGCCTCCCAGGAGCAGGGTCAGGGGGTGGGGGGCGAGGGCAGCGGCGACCCTCTGTGGGCGGCATAGGCGCCATCTGACCGGCTGGATGTGGAGGGGTGCAGGGAGGAGGCAGAGCTCTCATGTGTCTGCTGCTGCTGCTGCCATCCACCACTCCATGCTGCTGCATGAGATTCTTGCCTCCCGCTCCGCATCCAGCCGCCACTACCAGAAGGGGTACAGTTCTTAAAAAAGGTTGAAAACCCCTGGGTTAGATTGCCCTTAGGCAGTGCCTTATGAATTTAAGTGGTGATGAGAAAAGTCACCACACCTAGGAGTATAAAAGGAAGGAAATATGGCTTGAATCCTAATTATTTGCTTGATTTCTTCTTTTACTAGGGCATGCATGTGCATATGGATCGAGAAGAACAATTTAGAGTAACCTTTGGAAAAGGTAGGAAACCCTGGGCAACCAAGCCTTTTTGGATGTTTTGACATATCTCATATGTATTTAACTCCAGCACTCTAATATAAAGCTAGATACAAAACTGAAGAGCAAATACCTCTAGAGATAATACTTGAAATTAAGTCCCTTTTCAGAATATAAATCAGTCAGTCTACTATTTCCTATACATTTCAGATTAACTAGCACTGGCAGAAACTGGTCTTCAGTTTCATTTTCATGTACAAGGTCAAACCCATTGTGACACAAATAAGTGTGCTCAGAATTATGAGCAGGTAACATACTGCATGAGAACAATTTAGAGGAGTTAATGCATTTAACAGCTCATTCCACTCTTCAGTATACAAATGTGCATTTTCCATTAAAAAAAGAAACTGCTTTAATGGAGAGGAAAATAGCTACAAAACGTCTCATGTGCATGTCCATTATTCATGTTTATCAGAACTACACAGAAACCTGCTTCCTGAAATATTTAGAATAATCAAATAAAAGGACCTCTTACCTTCCTTGGTGATGAAATTCGGTCCTTCCCTTTTCAGCAAAACACTCAACAATAATGCTTGACTTGCTAAGCAATTGCAGTCCTAAAAACAAGAATAAGCCTATAGAATTTCAATTGGGAAGTAAAATGCATCCAGGTTACGAACAAATTTCAAATCAAACCTAAGAACAGGGTTGGGTTTTCTGGGGGCTGCTGTTTTGTTGTTCACTTTTCAATTTTTCTATTTCTATACAATGCAAGTTCCAAGGAAGAAGGCTCTCCCCCCGTAAAATCTCAAATCTACTTGCCTTCTTCTAGACGGCAAGTAGTCAGTTTCAGGATTTCAGGTAGTAGGTGAGGACTGTCCGCACCTCACAAGCTCAATTCATATTGACTCCTTCATTTTCCATCTCTAATCATGGAAATAGTGTCATGGGTGACACACACAATATGTACTTCTTGTATACAGTTTTATAACTCCCTTTTCACTGCTGCATAGTCAATAAAATTGCAGCCATCCCAAACTAGGCCCCCTCCCCCAAACTAGAACTTGTCTCTGCTTTTGGCTTCTACCAATTGGCAATACAAAGCCTTTGGATGGGACGATCAGTTGACAAGACTTGTTTCCATTTTTCTACTGAGCCAGAATACTAAAATTTGAAACACTAGTTATTGTCCTCTAATACAGGAAGCAAACAGGGATTTTCATACTTAATCTGTACATCCAAAATCATGAAAATATGAAATCTGTTATGACAGACTTCATAACTTAAAGTGTGCTTTTTCATCTTCCATTTAGAAATGAGGTATTTATTTATATGACAGTGTCTCCCTTTTTAGATTATACTGGAGGTTAAAGGGAGTATGAAAACCGTTAGCTGGAATGTTGTTGGAAGGTTCTCTGACACCTGGACTATAGCAAGGTCAAGCTGAAGGTAGCACTCATTGTAAGAGAGGCCATAAGATTTAAAGGGATTCTAGCTCTGAAAATTGTCGAGTGTAGCAGGTAAGAATGACAAAATAAATCCTATCTGAAGACTGCAGTATAGAACAATTTATAAAATTTCCTTACATTCAGTTTCTGAAGAATTTCATAAGTTGATCTGTCTTTCCAATCATTAATATTTATTTCCGGTTGCTGTTCGAGTTCAGAAACATTTGGAGTACTAGATTGTCTCTTGACTTTTGAATGTTTTGGAAGTTCCAACTCCTCCAAACTCTTAAACACAGGAGGCCTGTAAAAAGTAATAGTTTGATTCTCTACAATGTAGAAAATGTTTCTTAATTTTAATTACCAAGCACATAATTAGATTTTGCATGTATCCTTACTCTGATTCACTGATTCTTAGGAAGTCAAGTTGTTCAACAACTGCACCAGATATTAAAGTCTGAAATTAAAAGAAAAAAATGAAAATACAAAGACTGCACACATCAGTCTGAATACTGCACATACTGACCTGAGAACAATGTCATAAACAAAACAAGATGCCCTTTATTAGACCAGTTAGACTGATCAGAAATTGCCACTTCTTTTTAAACTGCCATTTTTTGTTTTGCTTTTCATTCACTTTCTCTTGATTATGAAGAGTAAGTACAGTGTCACAACAAATCAGAGTGGGAGGCATTCTCCCAAATATTGGCAGGATGGGCTGAGGAGGTGGAAGGGGGAGGGAGAGCATTCTCCAGGGCTGGAACCATCCTAGGGCTCTAGGACAGTTCAAAACGGTGGACTCATCTACCTCTGGCCCATGGTGAAATGGAGGGCTGCAGGGAGCAGGGGGCATTCACACTGGTGACTGGCAGGATGAGTGGGTAGGGAGCATTTTTCTGAAGTTGAAACTGTCCCGGACCCCAGTCTAAGAGGCAGAAGGGACCTTCCCCATAGCTCAACCCAATCCCGGTGCCCGAAACAAGTGAAGTCACGCTCCTTGTACTCCCTGACGCAGCACCAACTAGGGTGACTCAAGTCAGTGCAGGAGGCTGGGACTGCAAGCAGAAAGGAAAGCAGTTCTCCTTGCCCCTTTCAGCAATATAAGGTGACAGACTGTCCGTTGCAGCTGCTGCTTTTCAGCAGGTGCCAAATGCCTACTGACAGCTTACCCTCTTCCCCAGAAGGGGAGACCACAGGCTGTGAAATCCCTGAGCTCCTCTAAGGGTGGGGGAGATTCAAGGAGTAACCTTCTAGTGCTCTCTGGCTGGAGAGCTCCTGCTGCTGTCCAGTTAGGGGCCTAGAATGCTCGAAGTCTCAGGGTATTTTTCTAGTGGTAAGAATATCAGCTTTTAGTGCTAGAAATGAATGCCAATCCAAACCCTTTGTTACTCATCATTTTTGGTCTATGCTGTATAAAAACATAGGTCTGTAAAAGTAGGCATTTAAAAATAGGAAGGGGGTGATATGAAAATGCCTTGCTTCTTGCTTATATGTGAACATTTAACATGGTATTGCCATATTATGCAAGAACCCTAGAGACCTCCAGTAGCCCGTAGGTACAGAAATACACAGTCCATAGTAGGAAATGTTTATGAATCTATATAAGCTACTCTGGCATGACAGCTGTATCTCTGAGTACTGAACACTCCTGATGCTAGTTAAGGAGCTGAACACTGCAACAGAGTGAGTTTTCTGGACAACTATTCTATTGTGCTTTTTGGTCTTCCCTCTCAATTTCAGTAACGTTGCAAAAACAAACATCTCTCCTGGTTTCTTCCTTCCTACTCTAGCCCCCAACTCATTTTAACTCACTGCAGTCTCCCCTACTCAAGTACAGGTTATGTAGTGGTTTATTCCGCTATTCTCAAAGTACTGCTACATGTACTTCTCTCAATCTGTCAGGTTTCCTTGCCACCTTCTGTGTACACCTGCAGCTTCTCATGCATACAGAGCTCCTGCTCCCTGTGTTTGCATTCAGGTCCTTTTAAAAACCTCAGTCTCAATTCCTATTTCAGCCTTGCATGAAGGTTACATTTTGGGTGGTGGTTGCTCCTGTTTCTATCATTTGTTCCGTAAAGGAGCTTACATGCTTTTTACATTTATCCAGAACAAAGGCTAGTTGTTTTACCAGCCAGTGTCAGTGGATTTTCACCCAATCCTCAGTATAACAAATCTACAGGGCTTCTGTAGTTTTAGTCCGTCATTCCTTAGTATGGAGCAGCAATTCTCAACCAGGGTGCCTTGAGATTCTTTCAAGGGTGCCATGGGATGCTGCACAACATTAGGATTATTAGATGTGAATTCCGATTCACAAGATAAACCCAGAGATTTCAAATAGGAATCCACAGGGTTAAAAACATTCTGACCTGTTGTGGCCTGAGTTCTCTGCAACAAAAGCATTGGTCTATTCTTTTTCTGTAGTCAAAAAACAAGCGAAAACCAGGAACCGGCACTTTCCAAGAGATGCCTTGAATCTAACAACGGGTGCCCTGAATCTAATGAGCAGTGTCTTAGGTCTAAAAAGGCTGAGAACCACTGGTCTAGAGGTGCTTTGTTCCCCCCCACCCCAAACACACACACACAGAATAGGTTTATTCTATTGAACCAATTAAGAGGCTTTTTTTAATATGTTGTTTTGCTACTCCTCAGTAAGTATATTCTATGCGTATACTGTGAACTTTTAAACTGAGTTTTCATGTTTGCAGTTTAAAGTGGAGTACAGAAATACTACAGAGTTGACTATCATAATCAAAGGCTGTTTTTCCTCTTTCTTTCTTCTTGTTCTTGTTTTGCTTTCTGGCTGACATCCCTCTTCATCTCCACCTTGCATAATGCCCCGGAGAACAGCCGACGATGAAAGTAGTTACAGACAGTGGAGGTGAAAATTAACAGCAGTGTTAGAAACCTTATGAATGATATGCTTCTTAAATGGATGAAAATATTTTCATGTACATTTCACAAACAAAGAACATGTACTCCTTTGGTGGAGGCATGTTCCAATATGTATATCTAAAACATACCAGCTGAATGTAATTTATAAAGATGCAATACATATTGACTTAATAGATAATGTATTATTGCCATCATATTGCAATCTTAGCAACTTTCTTAGGTTTTACACCGCTCACTGTTTAATATTATAAAACTTAAGAAATAAGGTGGAAAAAATCCAAATTTGATCATATCAATACAGTTATAATCTGTATTAAAATACTTGGTTCTAACTAAGCACGGGCAAACATGAAAAAACCCTGTTAAAGTATATAGAACCAAACTGGAAAAAGATATTACCTTTAAAAACAAGTAATCATCTTTCTCATTAAAAAAGATCCAAAACTTCTAGGCTGTTGGCATTTTATATATTGCAATGTGATAAAACCAAGAGAAATGTTGAGTTTAAGTTTCAATTACATAGCTGCCTTGTAATGTCCAGGGTGTTTATTTTTAATGGAATTTTGGAGTTAGAAAAAGAGAAATTAGGAGAATTCTGAAATAAGGAGTAGTGCTTATTTCAATATTTTGAAATGTCATTTCAATATTTTACAGAGGAATCATAGGATCAGGATGATTCCTATTTCATCCAAACCAGTTTGCCCATCCTTAGTTTAAAATTATAGTAGGAACTAAACCTTAACTGCAACAATTAATATACAATAAACCATAATGGTATATACTTTGCTAAAATGTGGGGAATGATTGCATTGTACTTTGTGCATTGCCCTGGACAAAACTCAGCAGGCTTTTAAAGAAATATAGAATGAAAAAACCTTGACAAGAGCAGAATATGTAATTTTATCAAGGTGTCACAATTGTTAACTGTGCTCATCACTAAATTAAGTGACTGAGACCATTGACAAATGAAAAAAAATACAGCAAGTTAAAAGGGGGCACGGAAATACTGCACATCTGCTGCTCCATGGTACCTGCTCATGCATCTACTCTTACCACCTGCAGCAAGTAAAAGTTAAATCAAAGCAATCTGCCTCTCAAATGAAGCTGGGCTAAGTGAAAGCTACTGTGGCATAATCCTTTACTTACTGCAGGATAAAAGTTTGGAAATAGACAATTACTGTGAAAGGGCCTGGCTGATGCCACCCTCTTAACTTTTAAAAGGTGACTGTACTTTTTTCCCTGCAATTTACATCCTTCATGAATAAGAAATTCAACATAAATAGAAGTAATTGTCAATCAGATAAACCTTCTTCAGTGCTGCTTATCAATTATTTAAAGAATTTTTGTGGTAGGATAGTGAGAATGGATGGTCTCCAATGACTTTGAAACAATATCATGTTTAAAACAACTTAAAGGCACATTACATAGAGGATTTTTGAGAAATTCTTTCATGACAATATAATAATTTAATCAAATACAGAATAATAGAAAGGATATTTACATTACAGTAAAATATTAGAAGAAGCTTATAGGTAGTAGGAAGCACTTTCCATGACAGGTAATGGCATCTGCATTAGGAAATTCAGCTTATAATAGCAAGAAATTGTATGAAGTCTGCTTGGCTACTGTTATTTTAGAGAGTTACTGACAGCCTTTATATGCTAGAGTTAGGAATATTCTGTTTGAGAGGTGAATACCTTCCGGGATGTAAGAGATTTTAACTATGACACTATTATCAATAAGCCAAATAAATGAGTTTTTAAACATATTAGCAAAAACTGGGTGAATGACTCACATTAAAATGTAGACAAAACAGTTGATTTGGCCATCAGTGCAACATTAAAGATGGTTTCAACATGTTATCTGGGCAAGGGTCTCCCATTAAGATTTATTTTGAAGAGCCAAAACATTAAAACTACAACATACACTGTCTCAATTAGGATTTTAGCAGAGCCAAAACATAGACTGACCTAGCCAAAAAGAGATCTCTCAATACTTGGTATCAAGGACTTGACCTCTGGTGACAAGAGGAATGGGAATAAGGAAAAGAAAAAACATCTTTCCCAGCCCTTGGGGGGAAGGGGAAGGAACGGGAGAGGATGCCTCACCATTTGTGGAGAATGTAATTACACAAGGCTAATGCAAGAAGGCCCCATGCTTCTGCTGAAAAATAGGATTTTCATTAAATATACATGACTTCAGAAGTAAGCATAACTCTGAAATTAATTTCATCTTTAGTTCTATGATGCTAAATGTGCTACTGAAAGATCACACAGAAAAGAGAAGAATTTTGCTGGAATGAGAGGTCTACAGAAATCATTTACAACATAAGGAGTGAGAGAGACTACCAGAGCATGAGTGAAACATTTAGGAAAAAAAGAAATACCTGAACTCTATCAACATGAACCTTCACTCCTCCAATGATTCCCTTTTTAAAGTCTGCCAGCATATCCAATATTGGATTGAATCTGCTTCCCCTAAAATTTAAAAAACAGACACATTAATATCACACATGTGTAATCATATTACAAATTATGCTCCTCTTAAGAGATATTTATTCCATACCTTATGTTATCTTCACGGATGAGCACAAGGAACAAGGGGCGACCATGCATTTTCCAATACTGCTTAATGAACTGCAATGCATTCTAGGTAAATGAAAACGTATGTGCATTAGATACAGGGAACTCACAGGCCAATGTAACAGCAGCAAGCTAAAATAAAGCCGTTACTTAAAAACCCAACAGATTGATGGTTTGGAAGTTAGCAATCAAATGTTTTTAGTTCAGAAAAAACCAAAAACAAATGCAACAATGCAAACAGTTTTCAAATGCATAATTCTGCTCAGACTGGTTATTTACTTCATACTTAACATTTCATAAGGGGAATAATAAAAATATGTAGGGTTTGAACTGCTCTGTATAGTATGCATAGAATGCATTGAGCTGCTAACACAGAAAGCACAGGTATTACACCTTCTATACACCAGAAGTCTCTTCTTCAACTGCAGGAATGGGAAGGTACAACAGACAATGTTAGTGCTCCTGCCCTTCACTTAGGTTCATCCAAGGAATGCAATTTTCAATTGTTGACCAGACTCAATAAGAGAAGCCTGATGAGGCTCTGAATCAGAGCATCTCTTAAATAAATTTGTCAGGCTTATGTCCCCAACTAAGAACACCTGCTTCCAAAAAGAAGCAAAGGTTTGTGTTATTTTAATGCCACTCACTTCTGAATGATCAGTCACTGAAGAACATCCACTAGGGTCTATTCTGGACAACAAGTACAGTCATCATAATATTTTTAGTGTTCTTCCCATCGTAACTTTCTATTCCTTATGTATTAAGACATACATACTATAGATTTTAACGTCCTATTTCCTATACTGTATGTCATCAAGCCTTTAGAGCTATTCCTAGGGAAAACTTGTATTTCACCAGTTTTGCATAAGACAAAACAAATAAATACCTTAATGTCATCAATCAACATCATAACATCCTGAGACATGTAGAAGTCACTTAGATCAAAAATGATTGGGTAACAAACTACAGTCTTTCCTAGTATGCGATAAATCTGTGGAGAGAGAAACTAATGTTAACCATGTCTCTAAAAAACTTGAAACTACTTAATATTAACACAGCCTAAAAACTAAAAATAGTCATAATTTTGCAAAACTGTCAAAATAGTAATGAGCTGCAAAAGGGACTCCTGAGACAAAAAATCTTAGGAATCCACGTTCTTTTTTAATTAAACCAGTTCACCCCTATTATCATCATGGCTGTCTTGGGTGAGTAAGTATTACTGTAATTGGATGCTTAGGAAAGGCGTGAAATAATTTAACAGTGAGATAGCTTGTGCTTTATTCTTAATGGGTTTACAAGGTACATTAAAGGCATTTTAAAACACAAAACAAGATTTATGTACAGTAAATAAGATTACATTTATTAAATTGAACAATTTAAATAGGTCTCTGGATCCAGTGAATAATTCAAAGTATGCCTGGAATACACACTAATTATGTAACAGAAACCCATCATTTCAATGACCTTTGATGTTCCAAGGCATCCTATAGGCCTGTCAGGTCTTCCAGATAATCCTAGTTTGTCATTGATTCCCAAATGGAAGTAAGCCTGTAAAAAAAAAAGTTGTGAACATCTTAAGATAATTATTTTAGACAGAGGTTCAGGCCTTTCTGTTCATCTCAGGCAAGAAACAGCTGAAATGTGAATTCTCCCTTTTTTTTTCTTTTTTTTTTTGGAAGAGGAGGCAGACGAGGACATGCATTTAAGATATGGTAATTCTTGCCATTACCTCCTTTTTTTAAAAAAAAGATAGTCATCCATATCACAGTAAAAGAACCAAGATATACAAGACTAGACTACCATAAATCGATGTGCAGTCAAAAGACTGAATTTGGCCCATTACTTTGATAAATACTTGTATACCTACATTTAAAAGTTCATTCTGTATTTAAATGAAACTGGGAATAGATTATTAAAAATCAGCTATAAGTAACAGTGACAAACAATATTCAATCCAATGAAAGCTACTGTTGGAAATGCATTAAAATTGAACTTCCGCTGTGTAAGTATAGTTTTACCTCTTTAGCTAACTAAATTCTTAGGAGATATTGTTCTTCATGGAAGTGAAAGGACAGCTGATTTTAACCATAGCATAGTGGAGACAGTTAGGCACTATATTAGCTTTGCAAAGATGCTTTTTACTATGCTTGGACATCTACTATGAGCCTGAACATCAAAGCCATTATATTGTCCTTGGTCTTTTCAGACAGAATTAGTTCCTAATTCTGCAACTTGTGTGAATGTTGTGTCCCTGGATTGGTGCAGTGACTCCTGCTGATGTCTAGTGTACTTCATGACTGTCTATTTAAAGCTCTGTTTATACAGACTACATTAACTCAGACCAAATTAATACTTAAAAATCTCAAATCATCCTTAATGTAGCTAAAATATCTATGTGAAAACAAATCAATAATAAAAAAAGGAAAGATAATGTTCCCTAAGTTTTGATATTATTTTTGCATTTTTACAGTTTTACCAATAGATTATTTTTTATTTATCTATATATCTTGTGTTCTTTTGTATTCTAGAATATAAAAAGCCCTGTAATCATACAATACACAGTTTATTTTTTGTTTTAAGAGCACAAACTATCATTACACTTTCATTTTTATTTGCATTTAATATCAGGTCTCACATACTTTGAAAATGCCATTCCTAGGGCAAAATAGAATTGGAACAGCAATGCAGAAGATTAAGATACTTTATTCTGAGAGCCAAGGAGATTAATGCATTAGTAACATGTAATAAACAGACATCTTTGGTTCTTTGCTCAATCACATTTATGTAAGCTATTTTAAGTTATACTCAGCATTATTTCACCTGATATACTGATAAATACCAAAGACTTATAAAACTCTATCAGATTGGTTGAAACATAATGAATATGTGTAACTACTTGAACTGTAGATAAGCAAGACTACCCATGCAAATTAAAAACCAACGTTGGCAACTGCCATTTTGAGCAATTTGAGATGACAAACTTGCTATTACTAAAATTAAATTAAATTCCTTGAGAGGCAAGATGACTTAGGATTTCAAATGAATAGCTGGTACAACCCTACGAAATATTTGCCTCTTGCATTATTCCTGGACCATCATGGCTACAACATCACTCCAATATTACCATTAAATCGCCTGTACCTCTATAAGCTACATTTGGAAAAATTTCCTCGAGCAGAATTTCTCTTTAGATGCAAGCCAAGAGTTATTTCAGGGGCCAAGGAGGATGATATTTCAGACCAACAAAACTAGATAACAACTTAAGATGTTAGAACTTATGATCAAAAGCATAAGAAGTAGAGTTGGTGCCCTGGACAAACTATGCAGGACAGGGGAGGGAGTGGTTCCAAGAGGGAGTCGAGTCATTCTGAGAGCACAGCAGGAAGGGAGCATAACAGTGCAACAGTTTTATCCATGCCAGGAACTCCTAAACAGTCCTTAGCTGAGCTGCTGCCACTGCAACATGCTCTGCCTTCTGCAGCTGTTGCTCTTATCACAGCAGCATCAGCTGCAGACTGTTTCAGAGATCTGCATAGTTAAGTCCTAGGGCTGCTCTTGCTGCTGGGGGGTGGACCCCATGGGGAAAGTTAGGGTTGGAAGGGACCTCAGGAAGTCATCTAGTCCAATCCTCTGCTCAAAGCAGGACCATCCCCAACTAGATCATTCCTGCCAGGGCTTCCTCAAGCCGGGCCTTAAAAACCTCCAGGGATAGAGATTCTGCAGCCTCTCTAGGTAACTTGTTCCAGTGCTTCACCACCCTCCTAGTGAGAGAGTTTTTCCCAATATCCAACCTAAACCTCCCTTGCTGCAGCTTGAGAGCACTACTCCTTATTTATTCTCCTAATTCAGAAATTAGGAGAATTCCAGCGTGTCAGAGCAGCCTCCACGCTCATGTGTAGGTACCATTCATGATTTAGATTTTTTTTTGGAATAATGAAGGCTCATTGAATACAACAAGCCTTCAGGCTCTAGTCAGCCCAATTTTTCTTCTGCTTTCTAAACCATACAGACTGCACAAAGCTGCAGTTACTGGTTCTACAGTAGAGTGATGTATACAGAAAAAGGTCAAATTGCTGCAGAAAGTAAAATAAACATATCTAACCAAGCTGCTGAGTGATTATGGAACTACCAAGGGAGAAAGGAGAATTAATGCAAAACAGGAAGACAGACATGGAATAGCAGCTGTTTTGAGAATAATCCCATCTCTAGTGAAGTGAAGCTGATGAGAGAGTAGCTCAAAGACATTGAATATACGCTTTCTGTCACAACGAAGAGAAAGCTTTCTTTTGTGGAAAATTATGTTCCTCAACTGTGAACATGTTTTGCAGATTAAGAACAATGTAAACTTGCCTGAAAACTATTTTGTGCATTGACAACATTTTTTTTTTCTCTCATTGATTTCAAACCTGGAATCAGCATTATGGATCATTTCAATCACAATGCTGTCTTGAACAAACAAGTCCCTTCTCTGTAGTAAACAATATGGGTGTTTATACACATGCTCTGAGGTTGGGGGTGGAGGGGAAGGAGGGAAGGGCACTTAAATTAGAGTGGCTCCATGAGCAGCTCCAATTAAAGCACTGGAAGCATCTTGTGTATCAAAATGGCATTTGACGAGCTTAAGATAAAGTGCCCCCACCACCCTTTTGAAGTGCGGGGACACTGATACACAAAATGTGAGAGGCTGCCAGAGCATGGTAATTACTATGCTCCAGACAACCTGATTGAGTCTGTTCTGAATGTTGGAATTACAGGACATAAGAGCAGCCTCCCTGTTCGTGTATAGGCACCCGTAGTCCTCTTATCACCAGTTACCCAACCCAAGTAACCATATTCAAGTAGAAAAAAGTTTTAGATACAGTTCAATTCAAAAAAAGCTGTATTAGTGTCTGCATGTAACAAAAATCACAACTACATTAAAGCTCGTTACTCTTGCAAATGCTATAGACCAACAGGGACCAACATGTTTGACAGGCATGCCACAAACATAGCCCACACCCTCCCTGACTGCTACTCCACTCCTCTGCTTTCTGCTCCCAGCCCTGTGCTCCCTGCCCAATCTGCCATGTGCCGGTGTCACTTGTGACCCATGTGCAAAGGTTGGCCACCCTTGTTGCAGACCATACATGAATGGCAAGTCGCATATGGATTATAACTTAACACTAGATGGGGCTTATTTCTCTAGGTCAACATAAAAAAAAAAAACAAAAAAAACCCCACACACACAGGTAAGAGAATTCAGGGTTCACAAACATCAATTATTTCAGAAATTATAAAAGCTTATTTTTTCATTTAGAGAAGATTCATTATTTGGTTGTTTAAATTATAGTAAGTTTTTCTTTTAAAATAAACCCATTTAAAATGAAACCTGAATGTATGACAATATGTAAAGCCTACAACATTTCAATAAAAAAATATAAATACTGAATCCCAGGGCCTTTATTGAAAGCTCTGAGTTGCATAGAAAGAACTTTAGTTACAGACTAAATAGTTCATTACAGCAAGAAAGAATCAGGGAGAAACATCTAACTTCTGAAGACTAGGTTTGTAGGTATTGCATAGCAGGTTACAAATTGTATTAAAGGGCTTGACCTAGTGAGGGACTCAGGGGCCACCGGACCAGGCT